GAATAGTGCTTCTATACACATGAGGGTGCACATGACTCTTTTGTGTGCTGTATTTGATTCTTTTGAGTATATACCCAAGAATGGGTATATATTTCCTTGATAGCTAATGACATTGAATATGTTTTATGTATAAGAAATTTCTTTCTTTAAAGTTTTTGAAGCATGGTCTTACTATGTATCCCAGGTGGCCTAGAACTATTCTTTTCACATATTTATTGACCATTTATATTTCTTGTTTTGTGAAATGTCTATTTAGATCATTTGCTCATTTTTGACAAGTTTATACATTGTTTTGTTGCTAATTTTTAGTTCTTTATGTATTCTACATAGTAATACCCTGTTGGGTACAGGGCTGGCAAAGAGATTCCTCTATTCTATAGGCTGTCTGTTTAGTCTGATGATTGTTTCCTTTGTTGAGCAGTAGCATTTTTTTACAGTTCAATACAATTACATTTGACAATTCTTACTTTGATTTTGTGAACTATTACAATCCTATTCAATAAATCATTGCCTATGACAATACCTTGAAGTTTCTCCTGTTTTCTTCTAGTATTTTCAAACTTTCTGATAGTATACTAAGGTCTTTAGTACAATTCAAGTTGAGTTTTGTACATGTTGAGAGATAGAAATCTAGTTTCAATCATCTGTATATGGATATCTAGTTTCTATCTATAGCATCACTTGTTGAAAGGCTATCTTTTATAAACTCAGTGTATGTTTTTCCTACCTTTGTGGAGAAGTCATTGGTTGTAGATGAATTTCTGAGTCTTCTATACTGTACCATTGGTTTACATGTCTGGTTTTATGGCGTACCACAGTTTTTGTTAAAATAGCTATGCAGAATGTTTTGAAATCAGGTGTTGTGGTATTTCCTGCACTGCTCTTTTTGCTCAGGATCACTAGCTATTTGGAGTCTTTTGTGCTTCCATATGCATTTGAATATTTAGTTTTTTTTTTTTTTTTTTAGTTCTGTGTAGAATGTCATTGAAATTTGATGAGGATTAGTAGCTGGCAGAGAGACTCAAGTGATACTAGCACCTAGCAAGTGTGAAGCCCTGAGTTCAGAAACTAGTGCCACCAAAAAAAAAAAAAAAAGAAAGAAATTTAATAAGGATTGCATCATGTTTGTACTTCTGTTTGGCAATATGTCCCTTTTCACAATATTAATCCTGCCCCATAACATAGTTCTTTCTATGTGCTAGTGTCTTCTACAATTTCTTTCTTCAGTGTTTTATAACTTTCATTGTGAAGGTCTTTCGCTTCTAGAATGGATTTATACCTCGTTTTATTTTTTTATTTTTTTGAGCCTATTGTGAATGGCATTGTTTTCCAAATTTCTTTTTAAAATGAGTTCATAGTGGGATATAGTAAAGCTACTGATTTTATATCTTGCTACTTTATTGAATTTGATGACCAGTTCTAAGAGCCTTTCGTGGACTCTTTAGGGTTTTCTAGTTATAGAATCTTATCATCAGCAAACAAGGATAATTTGACCTCCTCCTTTATATGTATATATCCCTTTTATTTCTTTCTCCTGCCTAATTGCTCTGGCTAAAATTACTAGTGCTACACTGAGCAAAAGTAGTGAGAATGGAAACTGCTTTTGATCTTAGAGCAAATGCTTTCAGCTTTTTCCACTTAGTATGATTTTGGCTACAGGCTTGTTGTATATAGTCTTTTATTGTGTTGAGATATGATTATTCTTTACCTAATTTAATCAGAGTTTTTATTAACAGGAAGGGATGCTTAATTTTATCAAAGACTTTTTTTGCACCAATTGAGATGATCACATGATTTTTATCTTTTGTTCTATTTACACTATTGTATTTATAAGTTTGCATATATTGAACATTTTTGTATCCCCAGCATTAAATCTACTGTATGATCTCTTTAATATTCTATTGAATTTGCTTTCAAGTATTTATCGAGGAAATTTTCACCTACATTCATCAGGGATATTGGTCTCTAGTGTTTTTTATTGCTGGATCCTTATTACATTTTGGTAGCTACATAAGACTAGCTTTGCAGAATGCGTTTAGAAGCAAACATTTCTAGTTTATAAAATAGTTTCAGGATTGTTGTTACCAGTTCTTCTTTAAAGTCTGGTAAAATTCAGCATCCCAAGCCAAATCTTAGACTTTTTTTTGTTAGAAGTCTTCTTATTACTGCTTTTATATCATTGCTCATAATTAATCTACTTCAGTTTCTATATTCTGTTGCTTCAATTTTTGTAGGTCACATGTGTCCAGAAATTTGTTCATTTCTTCTCTGTTTTTCCAAATTCATTGGCAGATAGTTTGTCAAATTGTTCCTGAATAATTCTTTAAATTGCAGTGGTGTCTATTGTTATATCTCCTTTTCCTAATTTTATTTATTTTGGATTTCTGAAATGAAGGTTTAAATAAAGGTTTGTCAATTTTGTTTTTCATTACAAAGAACTAACTTTTTGTTTTATTGATCCTTTGTTTTGTTCTTTTGGTTTCTATTTCAGTTATGATCTTCATTAGCTCTGTCCTTTACTAATTATGGGTTAGTTAGTTCTTGATTTTCTAAGACCTTAAGATGGATAATTAGGTTATTTATTTGAGATTTCTCACATTTTTCTGTTGTTTTATTTGCTTTTGTTTTGTCTTAAGTAGGCACTTCTTGCTATAAGCTTTGTACTGTTTTCACTGTATTCCACAGATTCTGGTACATTAAGTTTTCATTTTCATTTGATTCTGCCCCTCACTCTGTGGTGCTATGGTGGGGTCAGTACATGACATTCTATTTAACACTCAATTTCACTATCTAAAGTCTCTCAGTTTTTCCAAGAATCTCTTTATCCACTACTAATCCCCAGCATTCTCCCTACATTCCTACCTCAATAAGTAACTATATTCATCTTTAGATTCTACTTCTTGGCAAAGCAGGTGAGTCCTGTGTGCCTCTAATCAGCTATCTTTGCTTCTTTTTTTTTTATGTTGATCACAGTGTTATTTATAATAATAAAAAAGGGAGAAACGAGCAATGTAAATGACCAGTAATAGAAAGAGCAATGGTTAAATACATTACACACAATGTACTATTATACAACTGTTAAATATGATATTTATCAAGGCATAGGAGAATTCTGTTAAAATGACACCAAGTGGAAATAAAAGTATCAAATTATACAATATTCCCTCAATTCATATCAAAAATCAGGGAAAAATTGAAGGATATAATACTTATATTTTATAGTTATAATTGGATGAGTATTCTGCTTTATACTTTTCCTTACTTTTTGTCTTCCTGAAATTAATATATATTAATTTAGAATTTAAAAAAGTAAAATGAATCTTGATGAAGACAACACATAATTCAGGGAGAGCCAAGTTTAAATCAGTCCAGCAGACACTGAAGCTACATTTATCCAGCCACCGCAGGGAGCACACACTCAGGAGTTGTTAAGGACTGTCAGGTAAGGCCAATGAACCAAGAGGATAGGGCGTCAGTACTCAGGTGCCCTGGAGCCCACACTCTCCAGGTAACAGGCTAATCACTCCTCTTCTAGCTGACATGGGGAGAAAGTATTAAATCTTGGGATATTTTAAAAGAGGCCAGAGATCCAGGTAAGTGTTTATAGCTAAATCAAAATATTTAAAAGTACCCTGAAGACTACAAGAAGCCAATTTAGGATAAATGTTCAATGCTTGCAGCTTATTTTTGTCTCCTGATTACATCAAACCTTATCTTCACCAGGCTCCCCGAGACCACGGCAATAGCCACACACTGGGCCACTTAGCCATAGGATGTCTCCAGAATTGGGTGGTGAGATTTCATCAAATTGCTTATATTTGACACACAAATATAATAGTATATTTAATGACATACTTTTTTCTTCTTTGAAATTATAGATGTACTGGGGATACATTGTGACATTTACACAAGTTCTTACAATATATCATGGTTGAATTCACCTCCTCAATCATGAATCCATCTATCAGCATACTTATTTTAAATTTCCACCATTATATAACTCCATAATCTGTGTACAGTCCTGATGCTTACTTTGGTCATCCAGGCTGTATCTCCTTGCTTTTAAGAAAGTATTGAATTTCTTCTGATGGTCTACATGATGTATCTTGTAAGAAGAACTGAAGACAATAGTCTTCATTACACAGTTTCTCCCTAGATCTTAATGTGTGCTATAGCTGTGGATAATGTAATGACCTTGTTTCTGTCACACCTGTTACCTTTGGTATTCCCTAAGAGCTCCTCTATAAATACATTCTGTATACTGCACTCTTCTAGCTATCCCTTATGGTTCTAATAGCTCCTAATTATGTGGTAGCATCAGTAACAGAAGTATTATATAACCTCATGATTACATCTGAGTACTTTTGTGGATCTGTGTCCTAGAGCCATGACCTTCGAAAGGTTTTTGCAGCTCTAATTTAGACAAGGCAGTAAGGGTAGAGGAGACTACAGTTGAGTAAATACTTTACCTAGGGTGTAAAATCTCATTGGGTATTTTTAACTGAAACTAGGCCTTTGTTAAAGCTGGCGTACTGGTTGAGATGTCATTTGTTTTACAAATGACAGGGAGATGTGCACAGGGAGTATATGGGAGGCCAATGTCCCATCTGTCAGCAACAAAATCCTATGTGAGCAGGACCACTCTCTTTCATAGTACACTGTAAGAATGCATCTTTAGACAATTTGGATTAGGCTTGGGTAGAACTGAGTAAAGGAAAACCCCAGAGCTTCCTTCTCCAATTATTTAACTCACATCCACAAAACCAGAATATAAAAATGGAACAAGAAGGCTTAAAATTATAAGCAAAACTTTTATTATTGCTCCTAGATAACAGTCAACAACATAGGCAGAGCCATTGAAAGAAGGGTAAAGGGAAGGAAGAGTGGGGGAAGACTAAAATGAGGAGTCAAGTTTGGGAGTGTGGGAGAACAGACCCTTCCTGGATCCCTTGTTCACAATGAGCTTCTTGTTGGAAATAGGCTCCTGACTTCCCATCTGCCTATATCTTGAACTTGCAGACATAGGGTAATTGCACAACACAGGGCTGATCTCTCCACTTTAGAAATCCTGGAGAGGGAGAAGAGGTAATGCAATAAAGAAGGTAAATTCAGGGAATCGAAAGAAGAGGCATCACAGATTATGGCTTAGACTTTAGCCTCTCCCTCATCTTCACCAGTGTCCCATTCTATAGGAAGAAGACTCAAGAAAGAAGAGAAAAGAAGAAATGGGAGAAGAAAAACACATTTTATATTTCCTAACCCAGCTAGATTCCCAGAAGAGCAGATACAGGAATGTGATAAGAAGAGTGAAGAAGACTGGACAGAGGTGGTTCCTCAGATTCTTACCCGAGTATCGTGACAGGCTCCCACAGTAACCATGGACTGCAACAGTGGAAAGATTCCTTTCCCAATTAAGGTAATTTAACACATCAGTGTTACTCCATGCCCACCCAGCTCCATTGGGTTCTTTACCCTACAGAGGACAAGATGCAGTAATGGGAAATTAAAGGACATTAGAATTGCATTCTCATCAATTAGTTGAAACACTAGATTCCATCCCTAGATCATGGAGTTTAATTTGCTAATCCATATGATGCCAAAAGCACTATAATGGGACATTCTCCCTAAATTTGTCATGCGTGTGGATAAATCCCAGCAAATTACTATAAGAATTTGGACCAACTGTAAGTTGTTCTATTCCTTTCTATATATTATGGTGATATAGTTGGTAATTCCTCTGTACTTCAAGGGCAATATCTATTCTATCAAGAGAAATTATGGATCTTATCTTCATTTAGGAGTCTCTCAGGAGAAACTGTTAAGATTCCCTGATGTTCAGAAAAGTCTGAGACCTCACATAAGAATTGTGTGAAAGTTGAAAACAGACAGATTAACTTCATCTAAGTGTAAGGTCATCCATAGAACTCAGCTTTTCAGCTGGCTTCAAGGATTTCCCTTTGCCCCAAATGTCACCTACAATCTGAGTTCTTCCTATCCTGGGGTTCTTCCTAAGCAGTTGCAGGAGAGTGGACCTGGGTCATAATAGTGTCATAAGAGTAACAGAGAAGATGGAATCTCACCAGTGTGGGGTCATGAAGCCCAATCCAGACATATTGATAGTTGTTCACAGTGCTTGTTACCAGAGAGGACACAAAGTAAGCCTCAGCCGCACTAAGCACAGACACAAGGTGTCCTGTGGGCCACTTCTGGCAGGCCAACTGTGTGAGGAAGGGACAGAATGATTGGAAACCTCAGCACTCAGTGGGGAGGGACAAGCGTAGAGAGGTGAGGTGGGGATGATGTGTGAAAGATGAAGATGGTAGTGTCAATCATCAGGATCCTTGGAGATTGGTCCCTCTTCCCTAAGACACACATGTACTTTTTACTATCACACCTAACCCCACATTTCAGCACTCACATCTGCATCCATCCAGGATTTTGGAGTCCCACTCAAAGCATAGCAGAGGGTGCCAAAGGGCTGGGAGCCATTGGGACAGCTGACTTGTGGAGAAGCAATATCTTTTGGGGAGTCCTTTCCTGAGGTTGGGGAGAAAAAGAGTGATGAGTAAAATGTAAGACAGGGAATGGAGAAACATAGGGAATGTGTTTAAACAAGTCAGTATTTTGGGAAGAAAACCTCATATGTACATGAAATTCTATCAAATTAGGCCTATTAATGGTGGAATATCTTTTTTCATTTTACTTTTCCCTCCTACTCAATTGACTACCACATCCCAACTCTTGGTTAACAGCTCTTAATAACAGTCCTCTGGTCCTTGCCTTCCCTAGAGTTCATTAAAAACTACTCATACTTTAAACCCACCAATAAATTAGAACATCCTGACAATCGGAAATCCCTCTCATTCCATCAATGACGGACCACTATGGTGGCTCCACCACCAGTGACCTGAAGGCAGGCAGTATGCAGGAAGATTTCTATATGGATTGTTTTATGGGAATTTTCACCATAACCACATGGCTTTTTGAGCCTTCCTCTTTCCAATCATGGACACTCACAGGGAATCCAGTGCTAGAGGCAGAGAATCTTACCTTGGACTTGAGAGAGGACCATAAAGCAGGAAAGCAGCATCCAGAACTTGCTAAGGATGGCAATAGCAGTCAACATCATGTCTCTGAGTAAAGAAGCAATCAGAGTGAAGTATGGCCTGAGAGAGGGTATTTAGAAACAACACTGTCTCTTCCTTTTCCTTTGCCTAGTCCTGTAAGGATACCTTGATCTTGGACACATCCAACTCCTTCTTGAGTTCTTGACTGAATGAGGGAATCTACATTCCATTGTTACCCTGAGAACTCCCATGGTAGAATTCCTGTGTTCTATGAGGACAGAGATCCTCCTATACCCTCTCCTGAATGTGTGTGGTAAAGCCCTTACCAGGGCTGCCACCTACTTGTCTTGCTAGGATCCAGATTGGTTTTTCAGAGCAGGAAAATGTCTGGGCTTTAAAAATTGAATTTGAGAGAGGGACATTGAAATGGACAACTGAGAAACATATAGATGTTAAGGGTTATGGATAGTGTTGGTATTGATATTTGAGGAGATTCCCACTAAGAGGAGGAGACACTTCCTGGAAAAGACTTGGAATTGTGTCTCCTCTTTCCCTTTAGCAGGTTTTCTCTGTCCTCAGGTACAGATAAAGATTGAATTCTTACTATTTCTGAGATATCCTGTTCTGAGAATCATGTCACAATTATAGAGAACCAGTTATACAAATCACACTGATACATAGTTTTGAAAATAGTATGATCTTGGACAGTTAAGTCAAATAAGGATTAACAATACTTTCCATTCACCTGGAAGAACTCACTCCTGTATATGTGTGTATACATTTACATACTTATATCTATATGTATATACATATGCTTTTCTTTATATTTATATGATTTGTAATAAGTTAAAAATAAATTAACAAAATAACATAATATAAAACTTTGTGAGGAAATGTATTCATCAAATGCAATATGTAGACCATAGTTCCATCATGATTTGTACATACAAATCAGGGAAAAATAATTGTGAGATAATTACGTATAAGTTCCTCTCTTTCATTGCTCATGTAATTACTATCATTGATTTCACTCATTCATGTACATAATCACCCATCTACTGTTACAGTTATTTCTTTAAGTAAAATATACATTTAGCTTTATTTTAAACAGAAAAAAATCCATGTTCCTTTCTCATCACATTTCAATAATCTTATGTTTAATAGATTTGAGAAATTGTACCGCTACAATTTCCCTTCACACAAAACTATCTTATGGTGCAGATTGGCTGAAAATGATATTTTTAAACATGTTTGTCATACAAAGTCTTCATTTCACCTTCCTTTTTCATCTTTTTTCCATCCTGCAGTGTTGAAGATTGAACACAGTGCCTAAAGCATGCTCAACAGGTGCCAATTCCTCTTGCTTTTGAGAGAGCACCTCCTTACCTTTGCTAAGCTGGCCCTGAATAGTAGGTCCTCCTGTGTCCTTACCCCGAGTATTTGAGATTAGGCTCAGACCACCATGCCCAGTTTTCATTTTCACTTTAGCAGAATAATGTTGTGGTCTATTAAATTCTAATTTGGTTATTTTGTTTCTCTTTCAACACAAAGATTTTACTTATGCTTAATTTTACAAAGTCTGGGGAATTATTACCTTCTTCTCTATAGGTAAGCTATCCCCTAAATTCCTGGCTCCTTTCAAGATTTTCACTTTGTTCTTGGTGTTCTGCAGGTTGATGCATATGTCTACGTTTGGGTTTTGTTATTCATCACACTTATAATTTTCAGAACTTCCAGGACCTAAAAATCAAAAAAATTTTACCTCAAGGGCAGTATCTATTATATTGATCTTATATTCATTAAGAATCTCTTATCTTCATTTAGGAGTCTTTGAGAAGAAAATGTTCACATTTTCTAATGTTCAGACAACCCCTTTCTGATAACTCATGTGACAATAGGGTAAAAGTTAATAGGCACATTAACTTCATCTCAGTCTAGGAATAGCCATAGAACTCAACTTCTCAGTTGACCTTAAGAACTCCCTTTGCCCCAAATATCACCCATGATCCGAGACCTACCTACCCTTAGTACTTCTTGGAAAGTCACAGTAGACTGAGCAAGGACTCTGTTTGCCCCAAATGTCTTCTACAATCTGAGATCTAACTACCCTTGGGTACTTCCTGGAAAGTCATAGGAGACTGGACCTCTGTCACAATAACCTCTTACGAGGTAACAGAGAAGTTGGAATCTCACCAGTATAGAGTCATGGAGCCCAATCCATATATACTGGTAGCTGTTCACAGTATTTTTGATCAGAGAAGACACAAAGGACAGCTTTGCCACACTGAGCAAGATGTGAGGTGTCCTGGGAGCTGTTTTAGGCAGGCCAATTGTTTGAGGAAGGGACAGAACAACTGGGAGCTTCAGACTTTACTTGCGAAAGGAAAGGCTATAGGTAGGTGAGGCAGGGGTTGGTGAATATCAAATGTTTTTGTCAGTCAATATGTTCCCTGGAGATTGGATGCCCTCCCATGTGACACACATGGACTATTTACTACTGCATCCAACACTACCTCTCAGCATTCACATGTGCATCCATCTGGGATTTTAGAGTCTTAAACAAAACATAGTAGTAGGAGCCATAGGCTTGGGACAGCCATCGGGTAGCTGATGTGGTGGGAGAGTGATAAAAATAGAGAACGGTTATGAAGCCCATCTCTACTTTTCCTGTACTTTAAGAAATTCTATCAAAATAGGCCTATTAATGGAGAGCATCCCTTTTTATTTTTACCTTTCCCTCCTAAAATCAGGCCAAGCACAAGTGGCTCACACCTGTAATCCTAGCCACTTAGGAGGCAGAGATCAGGAGGATCATGGCAAAGCCAGCACTGGCAAATAGTTTGTGAGACCATATCTAAAAAAAAAAAAAATTACAAAAAAAGGGCTGGTGGAGTGGCTTAAGGTATAGGCCCTAAATTCAAGCCCCAGTACCACAAAAAAAAACAAAAAAAAAATCAGCCCTGTGAACCTTCTTCTTCCCCACAGTTCATTCAAAACTAAACTACTCATACTTTCACTCATCAACCCTCTAATAAATTAGAACATCTGGACAATTAGAAATCCCTCTTAGTCCATCAATTATGAACCACTGTAGTGGCTCCACTATCAGTGACCTTTAGGAAGGCAGAATGAGGGAGGAACTGCAGGTGGGTCTTTGTACTGAATTCTCACCATTACCATATGCAACATTTAGGGGCTTCTTGGCTGTGTAACTTAGAGGAAAAGTAGTGCTAGAGGCAGAGAAATCTCACTTTTGACCTAAAATAGTAACATCAAGCAGGACAGCAGTATCATGGCTGTGAGCAAGAAAGCAATCAGTCACTGTGTGAAGTGTGGCCAGAGAGAGGACATGCAGAAACCACAGTGTCTCTTCCCTCTCCTTTGCTTAGTCCTATAAGAATACCTTGGTATTGGTCACATCTAACTCCTGAATGTGTGAGTAAAGTCTGCTAGCACTCTCGTCTTCCTTAAGCTCCCACATACCTGTCTTGCAAAGATCTGGGATGGTATTTCAGGGCAGGAATATCTGGCTTTTGTAAGAGGATCTGAGTGAGGGGCATTGCAATAAACAACTGAGATGCAAATGCAGGTCAAGCGTCATGGATAGCGCTTGACATAGATTTCAGGAGGTTCCACCAGGAGGAGGAAACACTTCTTGGCAAAGACTGGGAATTGTGACACATGTTGTCTCTTTCCTTTTAGCAGGTCAGTTCTGTCCCTAGGTTCAGATGAAGATTGTACTTCCCCTACTCTGTCCTAGATATGCTGTTTTGAGAAGCATGACAAACTGGTTCTACAAATTATATTCATATGTAGTTTTGAAAATGCTACATCCTTGGATAGTTGAGGAAAATAAAAATGATCAGTGGAAGAAGTCATTCCTTTAGGTATACATATGCTTGTTTTATACCTATATGGAAGATTAAAAATGAATCAATAAAATTGGTTGAGTTGGGAAGTAGAAATATTTATCAATTGGCAAAGTAGTATTTAAAATGAGGGAAGACGTAAATGGTTCAGATTTGCTGCTTCAGTTTGTAGTAAGGTTTAACATCTGCTTGTGAACCAGTCACATCTGAACTAGAAGATTGAGGAACAGTTACCCAGTTCATTGTAATTCTGAGATGGCAATGTCATACCTCAGAACAGCATGCTTACATTTTGATCAGACTTACGAGGTTTCATGAGCCTTTCAAAACTGTTGTAAGAGTGTAATTTGAATAATATGACTAAATGTTATTACTTCTTCGCATTCCGTAGACTTGTTCTGATAGTGACAAAGGACTGGTGTGTAAGTGATCAGGTATATTAGCAGTCACCAAGCCAGTGTCATTCACCTGTGTCCTTCAAATCCATACACTTGCAAGTAGCAAAAAAAGATGCACTCATTTAAAAATGCTATTGAACTTTATGAAGCAATGAAGGTAATTAATGTAAGCAACTCTCACAGAGTATATTATACAGTGGATGTCTTGAGAAAAAATACAGCAGTAATGCTGAATTGTAATTCACTGTTCTCAGATTTGCTTTACTTGAAAAGTGATAGATAAACTCATTATGCAATTTGGTGTATTTTCTTGACATATCTTCAAAACTGTTGGATGCGAATAATAAGTAAATATTTTTTTTATTTCCTGTTTTAATGCCCAGTAGAATGAATATTAATAATTAAAAAGCAAAAGAATTCAGAACCCTCAGTAATATTTTAGAATGTAAGAGTGCCCTGAGGGAAGAACAGTTTGAGAATCCTTAATAAGCATATAACGCCTACTTCAAAGAAATCCATGAGATAGAGATTAGGTTTTTTTGTTACAACACATGGAGATAATCTGCAAATTCCAGAAATTGTGAGCCACTATGGTAAAGTAGGTTTCATTTCTCCAGGAAATAAATGAAAGAAAATAAAGCAATATAAAAGTCTTACTTTGATAACAATACATTTATCAAATACAATGTGTGGACTATGGCTCAATCATGATTTATATACACTAACCACAAAACAGTTATGAGATTATTGGTCATTACTTCTCTTTCATCCCTTATCAAAGTACTGCCATTCGTT